AAGGGCTTTAGACTGTTATAAAAAATTTTCCTCTTTCATCTTTGTTGTGCTCACTCTAATGAGTAACTCTTTGTAACAAAAATGTTTGTTTTATGCTGGCACGCTTTCTTTTCTTCAACAATTTTCAAGTCTCAAGGTTTTTCAAGGCTTGTCAAGGCTTGTCACTGTTTGTTATAAGTGTTTTGCTTGTAAGAGAGGCAAGAGGCGTCGAAAAATCAACTAAACCAAGTCTACGGATCGGTGCTAATAAGGAACCAAAAATTCTGGGACCGCCACTGGTAATAAGTAATAGATTGCCTCAATAAGGCTATTCTTCGTGTACCAACGATCAGTCGAAGTGGCCTTTCTAAATGAGTCATATACACCTTTGAAGAGCATTGAACGCTGACTCCGAATGTGATTCTCTTATCTGCCAAGCGCCTCAGCATGCCGAGTTATGAGTGTTTTTTGTAGCGAAGAGTGAGCGCAAAATTCAAGTAGAATCAACTGTTAGGACTTTTCAGCGTTTAAAATAAAGCATGTAGTATGAGTGTTTTGGACCGAAACTGTCTTTGAATGAAGCGCTCTGAGATCGACGTTAGACCATTTGAGCATTCTGACGAATTTTGTTCCATTACGCACAATTTTTTAACCTAAAAACGCTCATAACTCGGCGTCCAGAGGCGCTTGGCAGATGACAAAGACAGATTCATAATCAGCGTTCAATCCTCTTTTAATTCTATGAATTTCATTTGAAAAGGCCATTTCGACCTTACGGACCTCCCTTGCAAGTTGAAGAGAACTGAATGGGTTTTCATTAGCCAAAGTAAGTCGTATTTGTTGGCCACATAAACACCTCATGTTACTGCTGAGAAGTGATAGAAGAAAGTCAGCGGTCCACGTTGATACACAGCTTTAATTGGTGTTTAGCTTGTTGGGACAATTCGCTTCCTGGCTAGAAAAAAATGCTTGCTCCGGTGATCCATAAAAGCCAGGCAGAAGGGACCGTCCAAATTCTCGACTTCCATGTATTTTGTTCCGGCGCCTTACTATGTCCCTTATTTCGAATATCAGGTCAAGTATCCGGAACCCCGACAATCCGCGTTCTGGAGAACCTTCAGGGCAAGTTCTTCGGAATGGTGATTGGTTGGCTGCGCAAGGATTGGAGGGACGAACGTCACGCCCGCTCAAAGGAGAGGAGCCAAAGTGGAGAATCCGCAACCGAAACCATTTTTAAAGCAAATTCGTCGCTTCAGAAGTAACTTTTGGTAGCGCGAGTTGGGCAAGTATACAGTTGGGAGCACCGCTACTGTTAGGCATCAAAATCTCATCGATCCTATTTTGTGGACGGTCTTTCGAGAGGGCGGGGAGGAGCAAACAAATAGCAAAGATTTCCACTCCGTTTTTTGATACTGGCAAATCTTGAAAGCCCGATAATCTATGTACCACTCGAAAGCCTAGAAAAGGGATTCGACATAGACCGTCTATTTTTTTTCTAGCCCTTTTCTACTGAGAGACACGCTGCATAATTTGAAATTATACCTATTTTCAACAGCAGAGCCTAACAAAGACGAATTATCGCCGATTTTCTCTCTATGTTACAGAGAGTAATCATTGATAAACTTGGACCGCAGACCTTCTCGTAGTTTTCATCTTTGTTGCGGAAGAGCAGAAAATGAACACAACGAGTCAGTTGATACATCGCCAGATGAATTCCCTAATATACCACCGCTCAAAAAACCTTCAAAAACTCGACGCCGCATGATCTTAGCTTTCGAATGGTTTGTTGCTTGTTGAGGCATTGCTTTGTGGCTTCATAACCTCTTTTATCCCCTAAATAAGGAAACAGTCAAGACCCCTTTTACCGGAGAAGGCCTGACTCCGCCCATCGCACCTTTGCTTATGCACTTCTTTCACCCTTATTTCATGTTACTGTTACTCAAGGTGCCTTTGATTCGCAATTACGTGCTTCTACACAGGAAGGCCACTGGGCCGCTAATCACAACAAATAATTCACCCACGCAACCATTTCCACATTTGATGGATTTAAAGCGGTCGAGGAATCGCTTAGTTCTTGCTAAATGGAAAGATATCTTGTCCACTGCCCCGATTCTATTCAAGAACCAAGATATTCTGTCGGTTGGGCCTCTGACACAACTTATTATAGGTCTTATCTAAGGGGGGCGGGCATTAGGTACCCAGCTGAGGTCTGGGCGTTAGGTACCCATTCATCAGTGGTATACACTAAGCCACGCCCCTTGGTTGCTTCAACAGCGGGTACCTAACGATACACTAAATCCTAGCTGCTAGAACAGCTTACCTAGTCGCTAAAATGCTGGCGCTTGCGACTCACAGAAAAAAGATGGAGGAAATAAAAAACTGCGCGAATGAAAGCGCAAGTTTGTAAACAACGTTTTTTCATTGCTTCTTTTTTATCAACTGGAAACCCAGAAATTCGGTGATTAAAGTCAAAACAGGGTAAAGCTTTTATGATCTAATCTAACCGATAACGGCGGTCAAAAAACGTTGTAGAATTTCGATTAACCAAAATTTTATGATTTTAATGGAGCAAATGCACTTTTGGAGATGCTCGTGGCAAATAAGTTGCAGGAAATATTATTACCTTGTTTCAAAAAGCTGCTCCTACTATATTTTTGACAATGAGAAGTGGAACCAAGTGGAAGAAAAGCTTCGACGAGAATTTGTCATCAGAAATCGGAACAAGGAGGACTATGTGACTACCAGTTGATTAAAGGGGGCCACTAGCTCTGTTTGTTTCAAGCAATGAAAATTTTGCTCATAGGGCTATGTCAACTTCGGATGAGTGTGTACCAATAGAATGAAATAGGTTGACAAAATCTTTTTCTTTTTAGTGAGTTACAAAAAATTCATAGCTTTGGTTGGATGAATTGAATCTATTTTAGCTACTAGAAATGAAAATGACTAAGAAACACTGCAATATGAAAGTCCTCCAAAAAACACCACAGAGAAGGCATGATAAAAACAGTAGCTCAATGAGATTTTCACATGGGATGCGGAATCTCCCGAAATAGAAAGATGTGCTTATCAATGTAATGTCCCATAGATCTGTTGGCCCCAGCAATAACCACTATAATAGCGGTAATCTACGACAATGTAGTTCATAAACGTGTGGCAATATTAACGATAATGGGCTACGACCCTTGACTTCACACCTCAAAACGAGGCCGACAACAATATGTGAAAGGAATTTCCCGCGCAACTTATTTGCCAGGAATCTCCTGAAGTGCACTTTGCTTCGTCAAAATCATGTAAGTTAGGTTTAATGGAATTCCACAAAGTTTTCTTTTTTGGAATTCCCGTTGACATTATCGGTTAGATCAGTTTATCACAATTTTTTGCAAAACTATGTGAAGTGCTAGTGAAAGTTTACCCTGTTTTCAACTTTCATCACCGAATTTGTGTGATTCTAGAAAAAGAAGCGATAGAAAGAACGTTGTGCAAACTGCGCTTTCATTTGCGCCATTTTTTTGATTCCCCACAACTGTCTTTTTTCTTGGATGGCAAGCGCCAGCACTTTAGCGACTACGTAAGCTGTTCTAGCAGCTAGGATTTAGTGTATCGTTAGGCACCCGCTGTTGAAGTAACCAAGGGGCATGTAGTGTATACCACTGATGGTTGGGTACCTAACGCCCACATCTCGGCTGGGTACCTAACGCCACGCACCCCTTATCTAAAGACTGACCTGTGTCATCGAACGGATAACATCGTTGAGCTTGTGGGTCTTTGTAAGGCTGTAGAGGACCGGGCAACTTGACGTGTCTAACTTGAGTCTGCTAAGAAAGCTCTCGTTGGAGCCAGCTGATTTTCCTATGCACATTCAGCACGTATTCAATTGCTTATACTGTGATCGTCAGTACCCACTCCTTCACTGAGGTGGAGGTTAGTGATTTCTCGATCTAGTTTTCGCGGAGTGATCACAAGTTCTCCACCTTTACCACTGACAAGGATCGCCTCAGATCTTATTAAATCGCATGTCTCCCTATACCCAAGTATTTCCGAATAATTGGAGGAAGTGAAGATTTTGCCTGTGAGTAAGCAGTCAAAACATCAAGTGCGCTGACGGTGGAGCAGAGGTATGTTGGTTTTTGCTCGTCCTGCAATTTTTGCTTGCACAATTCCAGAGGGGATGGAGAAGCTAACCAAGGGTTGACGAAACGTTGCTGGGGCAAATATAACATCACTAATCTCGCACCGCTTTAAGCCTCTGAAGACGACGAGTAGTCAAAAAAATAGGCACCTGATGATAATAAAGCTGCACCCAAATTTCGTGCTGGCAAAGCAACGCTAATACAAAATTTATTTCCACGCTAACTAGCGCACAAATGTGGCTGAAAAAGTTTTGCTGCTACACTCCTAGTAAGTTTATTTCTACAATTCTCAGACCGCGATCTGAGTTGACGTCGTTGCTACGCAGGCATGAATGCAGAGAAGCAGAAACACGGAGGGGCAAACACAAAAAAAGAAGAACGGTTTGGATGACATTTTGCAGGGTAGGATTTATGAAAAGCATGAAAGGATAACAAACTTTATAAAAAGAGGGCCTGTTAATCAATTGTGATATCGATACGATCTTGATAAGTAGCCGTGACTTATTACATGATTGGATAAGGTATAATTGCTTCAGCTGGTTGTTCATGTTCAATGTTTCAAGTAAGAGAGAGATGTAGTCAGTACATTGATGATCCATTTAATCATTTTCATCGCGTCAAACTTTTTGTGTCAAACTCTTACAATGTTCAAGATATTTATCTTCGGTGATTTCTGGACTATCGAGGATGGGTAACAGGAGAATTAGATACTCTCAGGTAGTAAATAGCAAAGCAATTATCGACCCAAGTAAACCACTTACCATGAAGTTTTGTTCTGTCCACTTTTTCTTTTGGCGTTCAAAATTTAGAAGTTCCGGAAAGCCTCGATACATTGGCTGTTTTAAATCTAACTCGTCGACATGAGAAAAGTCACAATGTTGTTGTTGAAAAGTCGGATAAAAGTTTCATAATCACAAAGAACAGTACACATATCAAGTTTAATGGACTATAAAATCAAAGAAAAAGATGATTTTGTATAGAACTCTGTTTTGACTTTAGTGCTGTCGTGGAACTTTGCGAAGTGCGCGAATCCCTCCAGCATTTCTGATTTCAGCCATCAGACTGTCTCGTACATCCGGCATTGCCGCACGCGGACCATTCTGAAAATGGTTTTTCTCTTGCAATGCGCAGACCGTAAATACAAAATGCCAACCATGGTAGGTGCCGATCTGGTTCTTTGATTTTCCAATCCCCGTTGCGAAGAAGGAGGTTGGCTTGAGATTCTGTAATACAAAGTTTACATTTCCAAATTATCTTGCTAAAGTAGGAAGTAAGCGAAATGAAATGACCTTTGAGTTTTGGACGCCATAAGATTAGCAGGAGGCGGTGGAGGTGGCGCCGGAGGTGCAGGAGCTGGCGGTGGAGGAGCAGGTGCTGGTGGCGGTGGAGCGAATGCTGGTTCTGCTGGAGCAGGCTTCGTTGATTGAGTCGGAATAGAAGCGTTTCCATACGGACGAGTTTGTTGTCCCACACCACCATCATGTCGCGTTCTCTGCAAATGTAGAATAAAATAACTGTGAAAATTGCTATTGGTGTTTTTGACTTGTGAAATGGGTTGGATAGGCACCGTCGAGTCGTCGACCACACGGAGTGGCCGTAAATTGCTGAGCACGCCCCGCGCGGCTAAACGCCTGTAATTCGACGGGGTAGGCGGCTGGAAGGCGGAGCTTGATTGAGATCAGTGGCCGTATTCATCAACGAACCTTGAGGGTTAAACTTACCCTCCAGGGTTAGTTTAACCCTCAGGGTTCATTGGCCGTAATCATCAACCATAGGGTAGGGTCTACCACGAAATGCGATCCACCCGTATCGATCAACGAGGGTAAGTTGGCTTGTGGCCGTATTCATCAACGAACCCTGAGGGTTAAACTAACCCTGGAGGGTTAAGGCGTCAGTTACGCGTGCGCTGTGCAAGCTCACATCACAGAATGCCTAAGTACGTGCTAAATTCACTTTATACTTCTATTCTTTCACTGTTATAGTAGTATAATCAACGGATAAGCTTCTAACACTAGTTTTTATAATATAATACATCTCTAGCATATTTGTGCAGCATCCAATCTTACAGCATTTTTCATGTGTGCAATTGTGCCGTGTAAATTCTACTTTTGCGCCGTTCGTTTTATACCGGGCTTGTGTTACTCTTTTAGGGGTCAATGCGTGTTATCATAAAAGGGTTCTTCTGTTTTGGCACTTGTCAGATTAAAATGCGCAACCATTTTTCCCCGTCGCATTTTTTTGTCACCAAAGCTAGAATTCTTTTTCTCGCGAAGTCAGTGTTTCATGTACTTTGAATTTAAACATGAAACGAAGTCGAAACTAAATACTATAACAACAACTAATACTAAATACTACAATACTCGTTGATCGTTTTTCATCAAACTAATATTAGGTTGTCTCATAATTAATGCACGTTTTTATTTGCTTGCTTTAAAAAAGCAACCACACTCAACCGAACGAAGGATAAGGGGTACTGTTCGATAGAGCAAAGCAAGCTCTACAAGATGGCACTTATGCCTTTGCGCCATGCTCGATCCACGGAGAGTTCGAACTCAACATCTAAAGATTTCCAAATGCCCAAAAAATCGAAAAAAATCAGATCTTCGTCCAAATAATTTCTTCGGACCTCCCACACGGTCACATCAATACTATCGATATCCGATATCCATGTGTGCGATTGCCGTATTTTTTCCTTGACTAGAAACTGAGAAAACGAAAATTTCCCTGGTTTTCTCAAAGCGATGCTGAGCCGTTTTTGCATATGTAGCTCTATACTACAAGCCTAGGTAAGCATAACTGTAGGTTTTCAGCCCATTCCAAGCGGTAGTTTTCGAAAAATAACGAATTTGGATTTTTTCGTTTCAGTTTCAGTGCTAAAATTGACATTTCTTGGAAAGTACCGCTCGAAATAGGCTGAAAACCTACAGTTATGCTTACCTAGGCTTGTAGTATAGAACTACATATGCAAAAACGGCTCAGCATTGCTTTGAGAAAATCAGGGAAATTTTCGTTTTTTCAGTTTCTAGTCAAGGAAAAAATACGGCAATCGCACACATGGATATCGGATATCGATAGTATTGATGTGACCGTGTGGGAGGTCCGTAGAAATTATTTGGACGAAGATCTGATTTTTTTCGATTTTTTGGGCATTTGGAAATCTTTAGATGTTGAGTTCGAACTCTCCGTGGATCGAGCATGGCGCAAAGGCATGAGTGCCATCTTGTAGAGCTTGCTTTGCTCTATCGAACAGTACCCCTTATCCTTCGTTCGGTTGAGTGTGGTTGCTTTTTTAAAGCAAGCAAATAAAAACGTGCATTAATTATGAGACAACCTAATAGATGAGAGTAAATGTTTGCATGAAATGTTAGGGTAGACTTAACCTTGCTCTAAGCTAGGGCTAAATTAACCATGATGAACTACGTAGGTTTTACCCTCCACGGTTAGTTTAACCCTCAGGATTCGCTGATGAATACGGGTTAATCGCTTTCGGGGTAAGGTTTACCCTCAAGGGTAGATTTAACCCTCAGGATTAAGCCTACCCTGTGTTTCATGGATACGTTAATCGCTTTCCAGGGTTAAAAACCCTCCAGGGTTAGTTTAACCCTCGGGGTTCGTTGATGAATACGGCCAGAGAATGATCAGAGAAGCATGTTCGCGAGAGAGACGCAGACTGCGTCGCAGACGCTAGCGTTCGCCTTCCACCCGCCAATCCTGTCGAATTGAAGGGTTCTATCAGTACAAACGCTGTTGTAGAAGTCGTGCTCTCGCGACATTTCAGCCGCACCGCGCTTGCTCCGCATTCTGCGGCACTACGATGACTCAACAATAGATAAAAGTAATTGGGACATGCAGGTGCAAAAATATCTCAATCGCAGACAATTGACGGCATACCTCCGGAGCAAAAGTGGGAGGGTCGCGGGCTCTGCCCAGCGGGGGTTTGCCACTCGTGCTCCGGAGTCCTCCCATTTCACCCATTTTGGTGCTCCGCTCCTCGCAACTCTGCTCCGGAGGTGCGCCAGATTTTGGAGGAGCCCCGGAGCACCAAAATGGTTGAAATGGGAGGGCTCCGGAGCACGAGTGGCAAACCTCCGCTGGGCAGAGTCCGGGACCCTTTCTCGATTTGTTTGAGATATTCACCTATCTATTTCCCACATTTTTTCCTATAAATACCACTACTTCGTATGCCTCTCGCGAAGTTGGTGCTGTGTATTCTCAGACAGTCGAAGGGATACCTCCGGCGGGCAAATGGCGCGAGTCTGCCACTTCGCGCTCTGGAGCGCTCCGGAGCCCTGCCACTTCCCCATTTTGGTGCTCCGGGGCTCTCTTAAATCTGGCGCACCTCCGGAGCAGAGATTTGCGCGTCCCGGAGAGGGGTCCCATTCGTTCACCGTGACGTCACGGTGACGTCACAAGCAGGCATTTACCCGCCGGAGGTATCCCTTCGACTGTCCTGTAACTCAGACAGTCGAAGGGATACCTCTGGCGGGCAAATGGCGCGCGACGTCACAAGCAGGCAAATGGGACCCCTCTCCGGGACGCGCAGATCTCTGCTCCGGAGATGCGCCAGATTTGGGAGAGCAGCACCAAAATGGATGAAATGGCAGGGTTCCGGAGCGCTCAGCGCGAAGTGGCAGACTCGCGTCATTTGCCCGCCGGATATCCCTTCGATTGTCTGAGCAGTTTGAGGATGTCGAGAACTCTAATGCTTCATAATAGCTGACCCACTAAGTAGTCGTTTATGTCCCGCAGAAAAACATGAACTCGGTAGCAAGAAAATCTCCTTAGAAGGTACAAGCGGCCAAGGAATCTCCGCCCATCAACGTGGGAGGTCTGAAGCTAACAAGTCCAAAATCGTGCCTTATGTATAGGCTGCTGCATAACGGAGGCGCAATATAATTGGGCGCGAACCGGCTTTATTAGCCACTAGCTGGCTTACCCGGCTCCGCCGTATCCGGACCAAACTTGGCACACATACACTTCGGGCCCCGGCGGGTGTCACAGTCCACTTTTCGTTATCGATCGATGTCGATTTTACCGATTTTTATCGATTTTTTTGCAGAGTTCACCTACAGGGCTAGGGGTTGGCACAGGGGGGGAAGTGAGCATGGGGATTCCGAATACAATATTAGTTTTCAGAATTATCGATTACTTTTATTGATTTTATCGATTTTTTGTAAATTTTGACATGCGAGGCTGGGATTTTGCACAGGGGGGTAATCTAGCATGCTGATTACGAACACAATATTAGTTTTCAGGATCGTCCATTACTTTTATCGATTTTATCGATTTTTTTGTAAAGTTTGACCTGCGGGGCTGGGAGTTTGCACAGGGGGGTAATCGAGCATGCAGATTACGAATACAATATTAGTTTTCAAGATCGTCCATTACTTTTATCGATTTTATCGATTTTTTGAAAATTGAGCTAGGGGGCTGGAATTTGGCACAGGGGTGTAATCGAGCATGCTGATCACCCCCCTTGGGGATGATCATCATGCTCGATTACCCCCCTGTGCCAACTCCCAGCCCCCTAGCTCAAACTTTGCAAAAAAATCGATAAAATCGATAAAAGTAATCGATAATCCCGAAAACCAATATTGTATTCGGAATCCCCATGCTCGATTACCCCCCTGTGCGAACTCCCAGCCCCGTAGTTCAAACTTTGCAAAAAAAATCGATAAAATCGATAAAAGTAATCGATAATCCCGAAAACCAATATTGTATTCGGAATCCCCATGCTCGATTACCCCCCTGTGCGAACTCCCAGCCCCGTAGCTCAAACTTTGCAAAAAAAATCGATAAAATCGATAAAAGTAATCAATAATCCTGAAAACCAATATTGCATTCGGAATCCCCATGCTCGATTACCCCCCTGTGCCAACTCCCAGCCCCGTAGCTCAAACTTTGCAAAAAATCGATAAAATCGATAAAAGTAATCAATAATCCTGAAAACCAATATTGTATTCGGAATCCCCATGCTCGATTACCCCCCTGTGCCAACTCCCAGCCCCGTAGGTGAACTCAGCAAAAAAATCGATAAAAATCGATAAACTCGATATCGATCGATGACGAAAAGTAGCCTATGACACCCGCCGGGGCCCGTAGTGTATGTGTGCCAAGTTTGGTCCGGATCGGTTCAGAAATGGAATTTTGTATTCGGAACATACGTACAGACAGACAGACATACAGACAGACAGACAGACATACATACAAACAGACATTCAGCTTTATATATAAGATAAGATAGAGCGCATGAAGCGCATTTACAACGGTAAAGATACGCGCGCGCGTCGCATTCGCGCCCGCTCAACTTATACTGCTTCTGCGCCTTCGTCATGCAGTAGCCTTTACCTCGAACTGTCATTCATTCTCCTATCATTATGCTTAACAATTTCAGGCGTTTCTATCTACTCTGGAAACCACTTTCACACTCATTTACTCCAGATCATCCACGTTGATGGGCGGAGAACCCTTCATACATTCTAGGACGATTTTCTCGCTTTAGAATACATCTTGTGCAGCGGAACTTGCGATTATTTACTTGGGGGCTCTACTACTATAAAGCATGAAAATCTCACCACTCTCGACTTCAATGGACGAGGTCTCCAAATTTCAATGCCCCTGTGCAAACGCTTTAAAAGCAACAAGTGAAGATGCATTGGTTTCTATGGGAGAAATCTTGGGACGAAATTTACAGGGCTTATCAAATAAAGTATCGGGTGCACCAGCATCTCCCGCTGAACTCCGCGTCTCTGCCAGCATTTTCCGAGGACGAGCATGGGAAAGGCGGAGCCTCAATTGATTGGAAGTGATTAGGGAGCATGTTCCGCGGAAGAGACGCACAGTTCAGCGCGGGAATGGAGATGGCGGCGCACCCGACACTTCAATTAATAAGTCCTGTACACTTCCTACTGTAACTCAAGCCAAACAAAGAAATTCATTAGAAACCTCACCGAAGAATCGTCCACGCGATTTGTTTCGATCACTCTTCCCAGCGCAATTCCACTCTTCTCTACTGGTGGCGCCGTTTTCTTCAATGTGGACAGACCCTCTTTCAATACTTTAGCGATATTATTGCTGATTTCATCTTCAGAAACAGTGCTTGCACTATCCATATTATTGTTTCTTCCAAGTTTTGGTGATTCCTTTGGTTTGTTATTATTTGCTTCAACTCTATCCTTATCGAAAGCCTTGGTTACTTGATTAAGAGGAGTATGCGTGGTAGTTTGCTTCTGAAGCAGCAAATTGGCGGCAGTTTTTTGACTAAGTGTTTGCTGTTTGACAGCTTCCTTGACTTTTCGAATATTTGAACCCGCATTTGGAGTCAGTGGAGCCATATCTTTACTTTCTCGCTTTTCTTCAAATGGAGAGGCATTTTTCTTTACCATGGACGGTGAAAACTTGGAGACGTTGTTATTTTCAGAAAGGTTTGGTGCTGATGGTGCCCTATGAGTCATAGGCGGAATTAGATTGGCACCAGGATTGACAGGTTGGGTAATCTCGCCTTCAGGAAGCGGAGACATTCGGTTGGGTTGTGGAGAAGGCTTTGGAGATGGTGAAGGCGAACTTTCTATTCGCATCGCTTCATCATTATTTGCCTTAAGGGATATGAGCGAGGAATGTAATGTACCGTTCCAAGTTTCCCGGGCATAATTCGGGTTTACAGTTTTGGGAACCGGTGAAGGTTGGAATTGCCGAGCTGCTTGAGGTATAGGAGCAGGTTGTCGATTATGGTAAAGATTTCCCGAGGATTTCTGCACACCAAATGCATTGTTGTTCCCATCCGAAGAGATTCGACTGTGATAGTTCTTGGGTAAAGTAAAAGGAGTAAAGTTGGCTCCTCTGTACTGATTATTCTGTAACCGTGAAGTTGTAGCCATTAGTGTTGAGTCCTTGGCGATGCTATAGCCGATCGTGCTTCGCAACTCCTGCTCTTTCCTTTTCAAATCATTTGCTTCTTGTTCTATTCGTAACCTGGCTCGTGCTCTCTCATCGTCATTCGATGATTGTGGAACATTTTGCACGGGTCTGTTGGTCCCAGCAGAGGAATAACGATCTGAAACAAAAAAAATTAGCCAAGATTCTCAAAGCTTGCATTTTATCAGTTTGCTTCTACATTTAATAGCTTGCACCCGATTCTTTGTCATTTCTGATAGCGCGATCCCGAACTTCGTTGATGGGAAGAAGGCAATAAATTAGTCAGCAAAGTTCACTGACCAAAGTCGCAATATCGTATTTTTCAAATCAAGAAGTTTGTTGGGACTTGGCTGCTCGATAGACGTTATTAACTTTTTTGAAAAATTCCTGTAATTTTCACCTCAGATAATGCGCAGACCGTTTCGTTTCCGGTGGCGAAGTAGAAAAATTTTGCGCAATTTCCGAAAGTTGGTTAAATCAAAACTTGTAGCTCACTATCTATTCTAAATTATGTAAAAAAATAAGAATACATCCAAGAACAGAAAAGTTATGAAACAAGTTTCAAAACCTATGTGCCAACCTAACACTTGTGAGATAAGTCTAATCAATGCTTTGCAGCCACGCAATGGCGGTGAATTTTTCTTTTCCGAAGGGGGGGGGGGAGTGAAGAAGGAGGAAGCTCTACAGAATTTTTCTTTGAAAGACCACGCCCGGATGGCGCCACTTGCCTTTTTTTGCAAAGCTAATTCTAATTCTGCTTAGCTGCTCGATAGGCGATATTGGATGTTTTCGAAAAATTCTGGCTAGTTCATACCTCAGTCTACGAAGGAAAGATTATGAATGTATTTGTAAGATTATTCAATTGATGCTGTGCAGCCACGCAACGGCGGTGAAATTTTTGGGCGGGGAAGGGGGGGGGGGAAGAAGGAGGGAGCTCTACAGAATTTTTCTGAAAGGTCACACCCTCCGGATGGTGCCCGTTACACCCCGATAATTTTTTTCCAAAGCTAATTCAAATGTTCAAAAATTGCAGAAAATTATGAAGTTATTTACAAGCAAAAAAACAAGGTACTTGCGCAAAGTTATAAACCCGTAAGCTATTTCAAAATCCCTCCCCCACTCCCAAAGTGGAAAAGTCGAAATGGAAAAAATTCAAGCCATACCTGGATGCATAACTTTGGCGTAATCGCCTCGGCTTCAAAAATTGGAGCGCAGATTGATAACGATGTATCAGTAGTGAGCAATAGGCGAAAAATAGCTCGGTGCACTAGATGTATTATTCCTACTCAGAAGGTTAAAGGCAGCTTTCGGGCAACGAAGATGTAGAGTACATGGCCGCCCGTCCTGGTAAGGCTTTTGCCCAACTGGCAACTGGCAACGAGAAATCCGCTTCAGAAGTGGCGGCCGGAACGCCCCGGCGACCGGGACGAGTTAGTTCGATAAGCCAGAGTGCGCATACCGCACACAGTCAATACGTAGGGTCCCACAAGACTCTTAAAGGCAGTGTTCCGGCAGATTCGGGTCCTGGAAGACATACGTGTGGTGGGGTTCCTGGTCACCCCATCGACCTCCAGGCGCAGTCCGGCTGGGTGGTGTTCCCCCTGGGCCGAGAAAATAGCCCCCGAACCGGCGCGCGCAACTCAGACACTCGCGGTTGACTCGCGCAGGGGATCCGCCCACAAAATGGACGTTCGCGGCAAAATCCGGTGGACCGGCGCGAGTCATCATTTTAGTTTCGTCCGGATTTTGGTGCGATTTTGTCGCGACGGGCGAGGAGGTTTCGAAATAACGCACCTATACGTCGACGTATTGATCAATTCTTCCCTGCATTTGTTGCATTTGTTTTTTTTCTTAGATGAATCTATACTTAGCAAAGCATGTCTTTCCAGAGACGTTCCATGCCGATAAAAACCAGACTTAGACCAAAGAGAATCAGCTTGAGACGCTCATTTCGAACGCGTCCTTCTGATTACACGGCCATTATCTGCGTTGATCATCATCCGGAAGTAAAGGTGAACCCTTTTTCTCTCTTTCTAGAAGTTATATTTCATTCTTAGATTGTTTTGCTTGCTTACTTTAGCTGATTACTGGACTTTGAGTATTTATGCTAACGTGTACTATTTTGGTTTTCAAGCGCTTTTACGAAAACGAATGGGATGACGATTTTGCGTTGCGATCCCCGAAGCCAAGAAGGGAACGCCGACCTAAGCATAATCCTGTTCTTGAGGAGGTCGGAAGAGTTTCCGCATTTGATTACCATGATTCACCTATGATATAAGCTCATTCCAGGATTTTATAGAAGAGGAAGAAGAGAATGTTAATGACAATGATGAAAGCCGCGAGAATGTCGATTCACAAGTGGATAGTGATCTTCCGGCCTTGCAAGAGCTGAATGAGAAGGCATGTTTTTATTCATGAAACTGAGAAAGTAATGTTCTTCTTTTGCGGTTGCTCATTTCTTAAAATGGTATGAGCTTACAAGACAGTCATTTTCGAAATTTTGGAGGTTATGCGATTTTTGAACTGCGGTTGCTTGTAATGCTTTTTCTGAACTTCTTAAAGCAGATTTTTCATCACATGAAGAATGTCATCTACGGTTCAACTCTGTGCAAAAACTGGCATCAATATTGCCGGTTCCAGTTCCATATTATTTAGAGTACACAATTCCAGTTCAAAATTTACCTGGCATAGCTCACATTTATCGTACCGCATCTCACGAGTTTAGAAAAATCACTCATTTGACTCTCGCCTTTTTTTTCAGTGATTTGTACTCAATTCGGAAGATGAAAGAGTTTATGCACATTGTTCATCCCGCACGTCATCATTTCTGACAGTTGGCTTAGCCGGAATTCGGAATTTACTTACAAGGGAAGGATCATCCATTGAAGAGGGGTTTCCACACATGATGCATATCATTCTGCTGCTCTTGGGGTCCTAATGCCAAATTCGTGATCCTTAGCTGCTCAATGATTTTCTGGGCAAAGTTATGAGCGATGGTTTACCCAAGATGCGGCTAAGGCTCGCATTGAGCTTGCGGCGCCAAGGGCATGCAGATGTGGACGGGTGGTCGAGTGGATACCTGCGGAGACTATGGAGCAAGTGGTAAAGAGTTCGGACCACTTTTGCAGCCACAATCTTTGCAAGTTGTTTAAGGTTATATTAGAAGGTCCCTAAGGCAAGGAAACCCTCATTGCAACTTAATTACATCAAATCTCGGAGATAATGGAAAAATCGTGCAAAGTTCTGAATTGGGCAATGTTGGTAGATCAGTTGGATCAAAAACATGTAAAACAGGTACAATCAACATGGATACTTGATGGGAAGCTTATTCATCATTTGCAATTATGTTTTCGCCGCAGGTGGTAGTGGGGTAGCTAGCTAGAAAGTTCGGTCCATGCGAAGTTCTGCGCAAACCACTCGAAAGGAGCAAAGGCTTTGAGCAAGCTCAGAGCAATTTTTTGAATCACGTTATTGTGTTTTGAGCATTCTGTGATAAACTGCCACACATGCTCATAAATAGTTTGATACTAAATATAAAAACACGTTGATCTGGCATCGTGAGAGTGCACCACCCTTTAAGGTCTTTAGCCACTATTCTCAGTCAACGAGGAAAAATTATTGGTTTCAGGAGTTCAATATGGTTGAAGTCATGGAAAGGTGGCAGAGACCAAAACGCGCGCACAAGCATGATCATTTCCTTTTGGTGCTTGACTTTTTGCGTCACTTCTTTCTAAATGTAAGCGACAGATAGATGAAGATGATAAGGTCGTCTTGTAATCACCGTTTAGGCCTGCGAACCACCTACGGAAATTCAACAGTACGCCTGTAGACAGAGCGGGAAGAAGGAGAAATTTGACCATCTTAAGGACCTCCCGGAAGGATTAGTCGATTTCTTAATAAGTGGGTCAATGTGTGTTTGAGTACATTACTTTCAATAACTGATTTAGGTTTCATCCTTGACGCCCTTGGCCTACATCGCGACCAACTTCTGCGAACGCCAGATGAGCATAAACGGAGTCCAAATAAGTATGTATGTTCTCGAAAGACCTTCATGTGCACTAGAATTTAGGTGGTGGTTGGACTTAGCCGAAAATGACGACGCTTGCGAAAAATTATTCGACGTCCTCTCAGAGGAAAGAGTAGTATGGAGCGGTAAGGCGAGGATAGCAAATGGGAGAGCTTTGTGAGTTTTCTCATAAGGAAAGCGATACTTCTGAACTATATTTTTGCAGGGAAGACATCGGGAGGTATCATTTTGACCCTGATAGGTCCATGCTCCTTCCATCAAAGGTAATTCGTTTGTTTTATACGATCCTGGTAACAATAATTTTTTATTTTCAGAAAAAGCGCGTCATGGTCGAAGGCAGCAGTGTTACCAAAAAAGGCGTAACGATCCAGAAGACTGAAGACGTTGAAGATGAAGATGAAGTAGTCGTAAAAAATTAATGCTGTTGTCATTCTTAACCGTAGTTCTTTCGTAACCTTGTGTCGTGATTGCGGTGCTTTGATTCCTGTCTCATTTCGATGTTATTGTAAACGCTACTCGAGAAGATCATGTGGTATTTGCTAATAAATTTTATGACGTAAGACTGGGTTTATCAGCAGAAAAAAAACAAGCGTGGGAAACGGGACCCAACGTGACCAAGGACTCAAGATAAGTCAAAAGGAAGGCGTGAGAGAGGGCTTAGAGGACGCAAAAAGCTGTCAGTAAGGGCGTAGGCCGCGTGCTCTGAACGCGATCGCGACATTTTGGTATCTCGCGCAGGTCTCCCCATTTTGCCCCGTTTTTGCCGCGCACTTTTGCCGCGACACAAAATCAGGTGTCCTGATTTTGCCGCGACACCGATTTCGCGAGTCGCCCACGCATTCAATGGCTACACATCGTTTTGCCCTGCGCGAGTCAACCGCGAGTGTCTGAGAACCCCAACTGGCGCGCGCTTGGACGGCCTTCCCCGCCTGTTCGGCGCGGGACCCCACGAGCGCTCTCCCCATGATGCATGCTATCCAAAGCAAGAATTACAGGCGGCAGGATCTTCGTCTGAGGACCTCCCCTAACTTTCCATTAAAAATCTCGTACAAGCTGCTTTTCTGGAATTAGGAAAACGCCCCAAAATCGGCCTTTTTAGCCCGTTCAAAGCTCAAATTCGTATTCTACGTGGCGAAAAGGCCTAAAACATGCAAAAAGGTGGAGGTGCACAATCTGCCGGGACACTGCCTTTAACCTTGGCGGCAGGCGACAAAATTCAAATCAAGAGCTTCTGGAGCCCGTTTTCGGCGTCCGACGTGCCCTCCAAGTGCATTTTCAGAATGAGCGGGAGGAATAAGCGCAGGTAAGCGAAAAAAATTCCATTTGAAACTTTGCCCGGACGCTGCCTTTAAGATGATTTTAACAATGAGACATTCAGACTCCGATTTCGATGTTGTTAAAGATTTGCGACAAAAGGTGAAGAGAACAGCAAAATTTTATATTTTTGGCCTATACAACTGACAATTTTGGCATTGAGCACCATGCGCAAACTTTGGGCCCAACAATTTTTCCACCCTTATTTACCCTTTTTTCCAGAATAAGTTATCCATTTCAGACTTATCATAATGTCCCCAGCTTAGTTCACATGGAATAAAACAACTCCATCATAACCAATAAAATTTAAGAACGTTTGAAAACCTGATAACTGCCCATTTTCTACGCAAATACGTTCCCGATTTGGGTAAAAGTTGTACTTTCACCTGTCGCAACAGCTTGAGACCTTCGTCCATCGTATTGTTGTGAACGATCGGTCTCCTCACTCGATGTGGATGTGGCTGGAGAAAGTGAATGCGTAGAAGGTGCAGGTATCCACCTGAAGTAAATTTTTTAGCCTCACGATTCAAAAAAATTCAAGCAAAAATGGGATTACCTGTTAGAAAGCGCAGGACGTCGATGGACTTCAGAAACTGGGGCCGTACGAGGTGAAGACGGCAATCCTGGTTTTCTGTTTCTTTCATTCCTAGACAACTCACATTTTTCAAAATGAACCAAAAAAATTCCAGGTTCCTCACCATGGTATAAACGTCTCGGGAGAAATAACCGGCCGGTTCCGTCCAGTGTGCCCTGCCATATCAGTAGTTTGTTGAAGTTTCTTCATCAGGGTGTCGTTCTGATGCATGATTTCCATCTGCAGAAAACGGCGCTTTTGAGCAAAAAGAGGCTGCGAAGACATTGATCTTTGCTCTGCAAGCGTTACAGCTCTTATCTCCGCTTTATCTGTGTTAGTTCTCTATTGATTTCGGGGCATATGATGCATGATAGTTGCGAGCGTGTTTGCTGAAGTAAGGAGATCATAAAAAGAGAGTTGCAGCGTTCTTGTTGACCTCTTTAGAAAGCTTTATTAGTTCTATTAGGTTGTCCCAAAAGGAAACTCCATTTCAAAGTAAATTGAGCTGCTTTTGTTACTAACATAATTAAGGTACCATTCGATGGAGCGAAACAAGCTCTGCAAAAAAGATCGCCAAAGAGCTACCTAAGTCGCAATCCGGGTGAAATTTGGGGCCAAAAATCAAAAATTTCAGCTGCCCTAAAAATTGGATCTCATTTCAGAAATTACCTATGGACTTCCAACTTGGTCTATATATAGTAGACACATAGTAGTACCCAGAAATGTATTTGGTGGATATTGTTCAATTGTTTTAAGCCATAACAGGTTTTTAAAGGAACACTTTATTTACTGCCCGATGTTTCGGCTAAATGCCGTTTTCAGAGACCTAAAAGCGAGTCAGTCACTTTTTAACCAAACGATCTAGACCATCTTACGCTCTTCACCAGGAACACTTGGTAAGCTGTTCAACTTGAGAACTTATCTGCGTCACAATAGATAAGTATAAGTAAGTCGTCAAGCACACGGTTTGGAGGAAGTGTCTGATGGTCTAGATCGTTTGGTTAAAGAGCGACTGACTCGCTTTCAGGCCTCTGAAGACGGCATTTAGCCGAAACGTCGGGCAGTAAATAAAGTGTTCCTTTGAAAATCTGTTACGGCTTAAAACAATTGAACAACTACAGAAAATGCCAAGGTTTTACAAAAAGGAGACATACACTACTTGAAGGTATTTGGTGGATTTTTCCCGGGCTTGAAATGGGAAACAAAGATGGTTTGAAAAAATGCCAAAATGCCACTTTCTTCGAGTTTATGTAAAACTTGGTATTTCTCGATTATAAGAGCACATGCGGGGGTGAAATTTTAAGTCTATACTCAGTAAGGCTTGTAGTATACAATGGCATATGTGAGAGGGACTGGGGGTGGAGTTTGCCATTTTTGTACTACCTCATTTTTCTCGCTTTCTATGCGCGGAAAAAATCCATTAGAGGCATATTTGAGTACTAATATGTGCCTATTGTATAATGACCAAGTGGAAATCCGTAGGGTTTTCTTCACAAAAATCCAATTTTCAGGTGACAAAATTTTTTCAATTTTTGCTTCAAACTCTAACAGAAGGCGACTTAGGCGGAACTTTGGCGGTCATTTTGTAAAGCTTGATCTGCTCTATCGGATGATACCCTAAATATACTAAAAAAACAAAAACAGCTTGAATTATTCAAAAAGGTGTTTACTTTTGAGACAACCTAAAAGATGGATGATGGGATGAGGAATGAATACAGACTTTTAGGATCATAAAGGGAAGATTTATGGACACTTCAAAAGCATGAAAAGCAAAGCCTACAAGAAGGTTTGTAGGTTGCGGTCGAATGTGCGCAAAATCCTCGAAACACTCGGAAAAGGAAAATACACACTACCCAGCGAAGAATCGCGCCTTTAATGTACCAACACTGTTTACTCTCCATTTACACGCATATTTTTGAGTAAATAAAAATGATTCACTCACGTGCAATTGCCTCGCCTCCGCTGAATTTCGATTAGCCGCTTGTAGCGCTTTCCATCGTTCAAACTTCATTTTTAGTGTCTCAAACTCTCTTGTAATCTCTGCTGCTTCGATCATGTCGTCATCGTAGGTGGTGTCATCTGACGTCGATATTTCTTGCATCATTTCGCTATTATCCACCCTTTCCGAAAAAGACAAATTCATGTCGGAGGCGACCTCTACTTCTCGTGTAGTTCCGCTACTTCCGTTGGAGTCCGACCTATAAGGCGCGGGCGAGCTTCTCTCCATAGTGGCTGCTCCATTCCGCACACTTCTGTTATCTTCCCACATTGGCTCCGAAGAGTTTCTAATCGTGTCAGGAACCACTGCTGAATGGCTGAGTTGATGTTGTTCGTATAGAGAAGGTGGAGGAGACGATGGCAATGCTGGTGGTGGTGGTGCCGGTGCCGCTTCTTTCCTTTGTTGTCTGCCAATAGTGCCGTCGAATTGTGAGACGGGAATGGTTTTAAGCCTGAATCGATAGGATTGATAAGAATAGCACAATGATGACTAAGATGACCAAAACGCATACATTCCACTAAGACTGATGTTGGACTTCCTTTCCACGTATGGAACATCTGAATCGCCCCCAACTCTTTCAAGCGACTTGTTTCTTGATCGAATTGTGCTCTGTGGAGTGTAGTGAATGACTCCGTAGACACCCGGTAACTTCTTCTTTTCTGGGTGTTGTTCAACTTCCTGGAATTCATGGCCATTGATCTACTGATTATAGACAGTCGGTACGCAATACATAGTCAGATTTTATATCTTAGATGCAAAATTAAACTTATGATATTCAAATTTTTTAAGGAGACAAATTTCTGTCAGAAAATGGTTAAAGGTAAAAGTGAGATTTGAAAAGAAGGGACGGAAACAGAGTAGAAGAGCATCTGAGAATTTCAAAAATCTCTTTTTTTGACTGCTACTAACTTTTGATGAAATATCAAAATATTATACTATGCCAATTAATTCTTTTTCCCTTTCCTTTTCTATTAGGTTGTCCGGAAATTAATGCAGGTTTTGAATTCCAACCGCAATAAGTCATGCACTTCTCATTTCTAAGTAGGTTGCAAGGTACCGTTCGATAGAGCAAAACAAGCTCTACAAGACGGCTACCTTGGTTTAGCAACAGCTCTAATCCACCACGAGTTTCGAGCCAAAAACTAAAAAGATTCAACTACCCAAAAAATTGAGAAAAATCGTAACTCAGTTAATAAAACCTGCAAAGATTCTAACTCGCTCACGTAAACACTGTCCACATAAGACGTATATGTACGCCGTTGCCGTATTTTTTCTCGGTTAGAAACCAAGAAAACGAAGATTTTCCTGTTTCTGCCAAAGTGATCCTGTGCCGTTCCCACATAAGTAGTTGTATACTGCAAACCTGTAGAAGTACAAACGTAAATTTTCAGCTCTCTACAAGCTTTAGTTCTCGAGAAATTTGAATTTTTGCTTGAACCACATGACTAGGAAAACTGTGTTCGATATTTCTCGAGAACTAAAGCTTGTAGAGAGCTGGAAATTTACGTTTGTACTTCTACAAGTTTGTAGTATGCAACTACTTATGTGGGAACGGCACAGGATCACTTTGGCAGAAACATGAAAATCTTCGTTTTCTTGGTTTCTAACCGAGAAAAAAATGCGGCAACTGCGCACATATACGTCTTATGTGGACAGTGTTTACGTGAGCAAGCTAGAATTTTTGTAGGATTTTTATGAACTGAGTTACGATTTTTCTCAATTTTTTGGGTAATTGAATCTTTTTAGTTTTTGGCTCGAACTCGTGGTAGATTAGAGCTGTTGCTAAATCAAAACTGCCATCTTGTAGAGCTTACTTTGCTCTATCGAATGATGTATTGCAACCTACATAGAAATGAGAGGTGTATGACTTATTGCGGTTGGAATTCAAAACCTGCATGAATTTCCGGACAACCTAATAACATGCTAGCTAGAATTACGTATGTTTATGACTGGAAAGGTGCCTTGCGATATTTTTATGACTACATATTATACAATCCTAACTCATAAGAAAATGAACAAAATGCCGAATAATGATACTGATATACTGGTATTCCAAAAAAAGTATCGAACGTTTGATCTTTAATCACCCTCTTGTATGATAAGCTTGCCTCTTCAAACAGGGCATAGTAGCTGGCTTCAACTTAAATTTACAGTATAAAAATATCGGCCGCTATTTGTTACTGTAGAATTACGGTAGGAACAGTATACAAAGCCGATCTGAATTAGCCGCCTTTCAAAAAAATTCCGAAACAATTGCTAGTTCTGTAATAGGATTTTTACGTAAGCTGATTTTGTTGACTTTTTATGAGTTTGTAAAGCCTCTTGAGTGGTTCAAGCGAATTTTTCTATAACACTTGAGTTGGTTCTAATACTTGACTTTATTTGAGTTTGTAGAGCTTCTTAGATAGTTCAAATATTTTTTGGAACGTTGAAATAGCTGTTACGATATACTTGGCACAACTTACGAACGAAACATTGCAGTAAAGAGCAAAATTCATTTAGTGTCACCGTTTTGCTTTTTGAGGCAAAATAGAGCCCCCTGTAGATAAAAATCCTCTTCACAGTTTTCTGTATTCCCACAGTAACGAAGACAATCGGTAAATTGATCTATACGCTCAATCTGATTGAAGTAAATTTTACGAAATGATGTTTGAATGGTCGCGAAAGCTTCTTCATACAGAGAAGTTATTTGAAATCAAAAGTTTGATACATTTCCTGGGACATTATAGCGACAACCTGACAACAAGTATGATCAAATTATTGAGTTACTTTTTGTAAAATATATTAATGGCTGCGAGTCCTTGTTGTTTAAGAGGACTGGAGGAGAACATTGAATTGTGTTCAAGTGAGAAAAATCACTAGTGAAATATGAAAGGGTTTCTATAGACACATTCATTTTTGCAAGACATCTTAAGTGCTCCAAATAAAACGAAGCTACTTCTGTTAGACCGATCATGCTTCAACATATTTCTGTTTATATTCAATTTCTACACTATTAACAGGAAATCTGAGTTGTCTTCACTTAACACGACAGATAGTGGTGGCACATAAAGAAGAATGCGACGTAAAGTCGTGGTTTTACACATGATTTTACTTTCTCTAATGACAAGGTGGAACAAACAACGACAAATAACGTTACTCTTGTATCGATAATTTCGGTGAGCAAAAGTAGATTTTTGAAAATATTTCTTATACCGAAATTGATTTGACCTATTGCAGAAATGTGAATGAAACCTTTATTTCGGACACTACGAAAATTACATAGAGATAATGCGAATTTGCGTCACTTTAATAGTGCCGATAAAAAAATTTCTATATTTTGCAAGACTGGCAGGTTGTAGTTTCTGTCTTGTGTTCAACATTTCAAGCTCATTCAGGCCACAAACTAGTCCTAAATCCTTGAATTTTAAGCTATGGCTAGTCTAGACAAAATACTTTGTTACGGCAATAAACAATTTTCAAGGATTGAACTGCAGTTTTTGCATGACACAAAGTATTTTTGAGCAGGATTGGCAGGTTGTAGTTTTTAGCCGTACAAATGTCTCTGGTTTTAATATTTTGAGCTCATTCAGGTCACAAACTAGCCCCAACCCCTCAAATTTCAGGCTATCACTACAGGGTGCGTCAAAAGTCTGGGAGCCTAGTACCTTTTCGTACAAAATGAGAAGGGAAGTACCTAGAAACGAAAAATTTGGCGCAGACATATTTCGAACCACTGCAGACACAGTCCAGTTCTTGAATTGCAAAATTGCCTCTTTTGGCTTCCACGCGGCCCTACAAAATCTTGGCAAGTCCACCTGTCCCACACAGGTAGTCATAAGGAAATTTGCCCCACGCCTTCACAATAACTGCTTCTTTTACCTTGGCAAATGTGCAGCACGATAGAGCAAGCTTTTGTCTACAACATACTTCCAAAAAGAATTTTCGCATTGCTTAGAAATAAAAATATTGGATTTTTAATTAGAAGCATGTTACGTCGCATACCAGAATTTTGGCTACAACTGCGTGAAAATAAACTTAAAATTATCGTTTGAAAAGTATAAAAAGTGTTCCCATGGCAGAATTTCAATAGGTTCTAAATTAGAAGACGTATGCAAAAAATATAGCCTTGGTTCCAGTGCCTGTTGCGCTTCTATAGCTTTTAAATTTGTTCTGAAGACGGATTTCCACTGGCACGCAGGTAATATTCGCAAACTTTTACGCTCCGTTTATGCAAGAACAGCTCCTGGCAAAAGCAAAACTAAGATACAATAGCGCAAAGCCTCTTCTATGTTGTGTGCATCGAAGTTTTGTAAAATATCAACAGTATTTCTAGCTATAGCAAAAATTGTAAATACCAAAAATTCTGGTTTTTTCGCTTTGCAAAAGTACTAGTTTGGTAATTTCCATTCTTACAAAAACATATGGCAGCCATTCCCAGCTAGATAAAGTGTATTTTGTAGAAGATGAACGCAGCATCATGTGGCATAAAATTGGAATCAAAACCATAAGTACCTTTGTAATTGCAATACTGCAAAGTTAGGCTCCCAGACTTTTGACGCACCCTATAGTTTCTAGACAAGATCCGTTACGAGAATGTATAAACAACTCTCAAGGAAATTAAACAACACTTTTTTTGCAGCATCAATTTTGCAAGCCGTCCATTGTCATAGCTGAAGTACAAAGAAACATTAGATAAACAATTTCAGCGATACAATACCCGTGTTACATCCCCCCCTCTCCCTTTCGAAGAGTCATAATATCGCAAGATAAGAGAATAGTGCTGTTATCGCTTTGCAATGGTTAGGTCCATGAAATTCGATTCCTTTGAGAACTCATGATCTATTCAGAATGTAAATACGATCTAGCGCCAGATGACATGGTGAGGAGTTAAAACTTCTTTGGTTTCGAAATCGCTTGCAACACACACATACACCTATCATGATACAAGGGGGCGGAATGAATCATTGCTATGTTCCCATAAAGAATGTATCATAAAAATCAGCTGAGATAGCTGAATAGTTCACGTGAGAGTATTGATCTTTTTGGTACTTTTATTAGAAGATTATTGTATTTTGAAACACTGAGCTTGAGATATAGAACAAAGAAGTAGTCTTGAGAATTTGAAAAATACATGAGAAATAGGTGGGGCACAGAATTGTCTAGTTTGTCTCTTCTGTCAAGAGAGAGCAAGATGGGTAGAACTAAAAGTTGCCTCGAGACTATTTTGGTTAATAATTAAATTGGCTTATAATGATCTTATTGTGCAAAAATACCAAATTTATGCTTTACCATTTTCGTTTCCAATGTTTCTTGTACGATTTCGGACACCCTATTTGGCTCTGGTGATGGGCTCCTAAATCCTTCGTCGTTGGGAGGTTCTATCTTCGTGTTGTTCTCAGTATCTAGATTCGATTTCGGTTCCTCGAGTTTCACAACTTCTGAAATGAAACAACAGAGTGATTTGTTGGAAACAATATCGAATAGAATAAAGATAGCTCGCTGCCAAACCAAAGCTACGTTATTGATACTTAGAAATCAAATGGCAAAATATAACAGAAAATAAGCGCATTATAGGGGCAGTTGTCTCCATTGCAGAATAAGGTACTAAAGCGCCATTCCTAGAGATAAGATAGATACTAAGCTATTGAGGTTGAAAAAAAGTAATTTATAACGTCAGAGCACAGTTTTTCTTCTCCTTGCATCATATATCTATATTCACATAGTTCCGTTTTTACCTACTGGATAAAATAGGGGCAGCATCACACAGTTTCATCTTTGATCTGAGACACCAGTTCAAATTTTTGCATATAAAAAAGTGCAACGCAGAACAAGAAGTGCAAGATGTATAGTGCATAAATAGTACACCAAAATGCGAACTATAATATTTGCACTTTGCCATGATGATGCTAAACCATTTCGATCAATATTTTTATAAGTTCGAACAGAAATGCTATGCTCAATGGACTCACAACCAATATCTTGCAGATTTGCCGAGGAAATTTCTATATAAGTTATAAAAATATATGAGCGAATTAATAAGTAAACAAACGTATTTTGTATTTCGCGGTCAGTATCAAAGTGAGTAATCATTAATGTCACAGCGAAAGACAAATGCAAGAAAATGATTTTGTACCTCCAAGAAAAAGCAGTGTAATGTACATATTAGTTAGTGTAGTGTGATCCATGAGACTTACACCAAAATTTTTAGAAAAAATTTCAAATTTTTCTGGTCAAAATTTATCTGGTAAATAGCCTAGGAATATAAAATCAGGCACTTTTGAATTGGCACTCTCACCAAAAATCCGTCTTACAATACCACGAAGACAGAACATAAATAGGAAAAGTCAATTTGTATTTTAGGTTGGGGTTTTCAAACTAAATTCCCAATAAAATTTGCTTTTACTTAATTTATAAATACGACTAAGTTTTTTTTAAATAATAATGAGAAAAATTTGTGCTGATTGAATGTACCCAAATTATTTATGAATTTTGGATTTTTTGGCCAAAAGCCGAAAACTAGTCGCTCCTCTTACTATTTTAATTTAATTTATAAGCGTGATTCTTTGATTGAATACAGCATTTGCTAATCATAAGAAAAACGTATAATATTTGGAACGCTTGAACGTTTCCACAAGAAATTTTTTTCTGCAGTTTTTGGTGCAAGACTTGTAGAACAAATCACTATTGATTTTCCACATTTTTGGTTATATACAAATAGAAATGAATTTTCTTACCAACTGTTTCCTGTTTCGGTGGCTCCGGTGCTGAAGGAGCAGCGTATTTTTTCCTAGACTTTGGTGCCTCGCTTGTACACGTTGACTTTCTAGATTTTGGCTCTTCGTTTATGTAAATTGGTTTCACTTCTGGCTCCGTGTGCATAAGTTCATCGACATTACAAAAACTGGAAAAATTTGTTGACATTATAACAAAAAAATTTAAAGGGAGCAAAGGATAAAAATGTTGGAAGCGAGACACCTAAACAAACATCAGAAAACATCACTGAGGCACATCTGGAATAATCAGACAGGGAGCGCTCCAGGATATACGAACAAAAGAAAAATTCTTGCATTTTCTTAGCGTATGGGGGGGGCAGGGTAGAAAGGGCTGGTTCATGTGTTGATGGTCAGCTTAAGTAAATATGACTGGGCGCACGAGGTGACGATAGAAGTGCTTGAATCGATAGGGCCGAAAAAGAGGAGCTGGAAATCTTTTTTGTTTGCAAATGCTGTTTGCCGAAAATTGGGTAAATCCTATGTGGCGAGTATCGTACTAAATTTGGATATGTGCCAGAATTGCGAAAAATCCGGATTTTGAATTGATTTTGGAAAAGAAATCCCCTTAAGGTGCTCTAGCCCAAATCTGAATGTGCTTATAGCGCTGTATGCAAAATTGGGCATGCCAAAATTCCAAAAATGTTAAAAAAAGGATGATTTTCAAAAAATTTGCAAAGCGTCTCAGTTTTTATGAACGATATATATGGATTAAAAGTGTCTTATGTCTTCCTTACGAATAGGCAAACTAAGGCAAAAATTGACTGACTGACTGACTTTCCCGGAATTTTCATTAGTATGTAATCGAAAACGCTTCTATGAAATGGGTGCCATGAAATTTGGATGTTGGATTGGTTTCAGAAAAAATTCTTCAAACACTTATGGCAGACATTAGACGTTTACAAAAAGTCTCAGTCATTTCTTCAGTCTTTTATGACATGAATGGCAAGAAATTCAAAAATTGGATTGGTTTTGGAAAAAATTCTTCGGAGTGTTTCAACTTCCATAGGACAATATGTGAGATGAAAGCGTTTGAGTTTGTTCTCAAAAGATGGGTAAAGGGAGCTAAAAAAATCGGGAAAGTCGTCCTTCAGAAAAATTTCATAGATATTTTGAGTTCAATGAAATCTGTCTGTCTAACATGGGTGCTGAGAAACTTCAAAAAATGAGTTCATTCTGAACAAAAACATTTTTAGGAGGTTCCATGTTCTTAATACGCAATATATGAGGTGAAAATATCATATGTCTTTCATATAGAAGCTGCGTGAAAAACTGCAGAATTTCGGGAAAAAAAATTCCATAAATATTTGTTACTGGACTGTTTTTCTAAGTGCCAGAAAATCCAAAACTGACTTGGTTGTGGAAAAAATATAAAAGTGTTGTACCTCAGATAAATGTGATATACATATGTAATACTTAAAGTCAGATTTTTGTAGATAGACAGCTAGTCTGAGCAGAAAATTACGAAAAGTTCCTGAAAACGTTCCAGCAAAAAAGAAAATGGTACAAAAGGAGCGGTACCAGCCAAATAAGGGACCGGACCCGTCTGGTCAATACGGAATCGACTATTTGTGTAGTGCGATAGTGAGGGCGTGGATCAATGGGGGACAGCTTGTCATTCGCGGGGTTCGGGGGGGGGGGAGTGAAGGGTCCTATTTGCACACAGCGATTCAGGGAATGAATTGGTGTGCGAACAGTTCAAGCCGTGCTTGTCGTGCGCGACTAGTGGGTGATCTTCTCACAAACGGACAGACGAGTGTTGAGGGGGGGGGGGGGATTAATTTATTTGTATAGGTTCACCTTTCGGCCCTCGCACACGAGTACCCTCACACGTAGCGATAAATTCACACGAGAACGTACAAATATACACACACGAGAGCAAGCATTTCAGGCAGCGTCTAAGAGCCAGATCTATGATCCCGGATTAGTACCTAGTCTACAAGAAGGCCCTAGAAGTTGGGTATCTGCATTGGTCCGGTCCTCTGATTCGGCCCCTGAATGGAAAAAATGGACCTGGAACCAGTGAAGGTGATAGGAAGCCACGCTCACCCAGGTACTGAAAGCCGCCTGATAGGATAGGGCTCCCTGAAGTCGAGTTTTTTGCGAGTCTTGCACATTTTGCATGTCATATATATGTAATCAGGCCCAGAAAAGGCCCCAGAATGACAAAAATATGGCAAACGAAAATTTTGGTAGATGCTGCCTGAAGGGGAGAGGGAGGGAGAATGTGATAATGGGCGCTCTATGAGCCCTTACCTCTCGTGTCTAGTCGGTGAAGTCTCCTCTCTGGTGCTCGATTTCACGACAACCGCTTGCGGAGCCGGTTTCTGCAATGTGACCACTCTTTAAAGCACTCACCTCTCTCTTCTGACAACATGTAGTCAGCTACAGAATCCACATTCGATCAGTTTTTCCCCCTTGTTCCCCGGCTTCGACAAATGAGTCAACGATGTGAAACACTGGAGCAGCTATTGCAATTACTTTTTTTGCGCAGCGCATGAAAAAGCTTACGCACATGAGAAATGCTGTTAGCGAAAGTGATTCGTAGGGTTTCGTAGATATCCAGGAAAATTCATTACAGTAGAACTTGCTTGTAGATTTTGCATATCTTTGTTTTTATTGTATTGAAGCTCACCTTCGGGTGTACAAAATAAATAAACAAATAAATAAATAATGATTTCTACACTGTGGTCAAATGAGTCGAAGATTCAAAAAATATACTTATTTTCCAGTTTCAACATTTTTAGCGAAGAGCCATACAAGTAAATAACATTTTGACTAAGAACTTGCCCAACAAAATGGGAATCATTTTGCGAATTGTATAACTATTCTCGAGTCATTTGTATACTAGTCTGTACTGCACAGAACGCGCGCAACTCCACGGCCTCTCTAATCAAAATATTTTGATTTTTATATATCCTCCCCCGTTTTGCTCTCACGTATAGTCCGATTAAATGAACATGAAGTGGTACACAACCACAATGCGTACCATCAAAAATATGGTTTTACTGAAGAGTATCAGTAAGGTGTCGTCGTTTGCCGCACACAGTGTGCAGGCACAGACACTCAAATTACGAATGACTCGAACGTACTTTTCTGAAAACTGCATGAAAAAGACTTGCTTATCAGTTTTCGTAGGGTACAATTCTGCATGATGCATAGGCAAGATGATGCGTCTCCTTAAATTGGCTCTTGCTTTGTGCAATTGCACTACTTCAAAAAACATTGGTGGCAGAGCTGCTTAGAATATGAAGATTCTTCTGAACCTTTTGTCTGGTTTCGGTAGAGGATTTTTGCCATATTTGGCTTTTTTTCGTAATATGATGATGATTCTATAATATGGTCATCAGTCTCCAAAGTTGTGCAATTACACAAAAGGACTGCCTATAGAAACGGCTGTAATTATTTTGAATCAGCAGAATCTGAACAAAAAGATTTGCTTGAACTTTGTGCAGAATTACCAAGCACTAAATAGTGCCCAGTTCTCAATTTGCCCTTTGAAATGTGTACTTTGCATTTTCCAACAAGCTAACAGAGCGTCATTCTCAAGATTTTAAAGGTATGAAGAAAGCTGCAATAGGCTAGATAGTAGAGTGTTCACTGTGATAGCGAAAAGAGATGGAACCAAACAACATAGCATTGTATAAAAGAAAAACTGCCATGTCAAGGGCTTATCGGCTTAGTGAAGAGCAGTGGTAATCTTAAGAAAAATAGAAGAGAATCTTATTTTTGATCTTATGACGTATGCTGTAACTAAGCAAGGCTAAAAAGCGAAGGTGAGCAAATCGGAGGGGGAAGAAATTTGATTAGATCGCCAATGTAGAGCTGTACCAAGGGAGCTATGGTAGTCAAGGGTACATAATCTCAATAGAGAAATGGGAGGTAAGTTTGTGAAAAAAATTACTATCTACATACTCAGACAATCCACCGGGAGCTTCGCACGACAAGCAAAAGTCGCAGCGGTCCCGCAGAATTTTGTTTATATCTTAAGTGAGAACGTTTGAAAATGGGTACTTCCGCAGGCCTTTCACGTCAGACTGATAAAAACCGGAACTTTTGCAGGACTTGTTAGAAAACGCTGCTAAAGTCCGAAATTTGCCAGCTTTGTGCCAGTACTTCCGCAGGTTTTGAATTTGTTGTTTCTTACGATATTGTCTCGCCAGCAACTAGAGTGCATTGTCGAAAATGTCGTAGTGCAGAGGATAGTAAGTGAGTCTCCCAACTGATAGAGCAAGGTTCGAATCTCGCTTAGGAGTTTTCTTTTGCTATTGTTGGTCTTCGAAACCTCCTCAATACCTCATTGGGAACTCCCGCACCACAAACGGAAATTCCGCAGGCAACCTGGCAGAGCTTTCCCAGGTTCTGCGGAAGTACCCGTCAGTTTTCTGAGTATGTGAATGTATTTTACCAGCCCTATCTTTATCTTGTATTATAATGCTAAGTTCTAACATTACCTCTTTTTTATGTTAACAAACATGGCTAATGAGCGTAATAAATGACTAATTAAGCCGATAAACAAATGAACAAATATATGTTTGAAAAATGAAATAGCACAAGTTTTATGTCAGTCAAGACAATGAAGGAACAAGCAGCTTTGGAGAGTCGCAAATGTTAAAATGATGACTGGAACCATATCAGATAAATAAAAATCTTACAAAGAATTCCGAGATGAGTCACTTCTTAGCAGAGTTGATAAGGAGCACTTATGAGAGTCAAGGAAATGTGTTGAGTCACTTCTTAGAGGAAAATTGACCTAGATTTAAAGAGGGCATAATTTCTGAGATAAGGAAAATCATTTGAGAGATTGTGACTGTGCTCTAGCGTTTATATGCATCTACTCTCACTCTTATGATCATAAACACAATCGGACCTCTCAGAAAAGGATTTTTAGCTTTCTGAAAATCGGATGATGATAAATGCGATAAGAAACAGAGAATTGAAATTGATTTATTACAATAATATGATGAGAAAAAATTTGAGTAAATCACACATCAAAGTGGTAAGAAAACAGAATTTTTTGTTTTCTAAAATTTCTATAGAAAGATGTCGCAGAAAAAAACGAGGAAAGACATGGCTAGGTAACCTTTGATTTAACTGGATTAGCGGCTGGAAGGCGGGGCTTTGTGACCTAATTAAGGCCGCTCGCGCCCGCGACGCACCCTGCGTCTCTCTCGCGGGCGCGCTCTCTGATCATTATCTGGCCTTAATTAGGTCACGAAGCCCCGCCTTCCAGCTGCCAAGCCATTCGAATCAGATGGTAAATATTACTAACTAGTAACTCGATCAATGTTGACAGTTTATTTGTTTTGTTACTTTGTAGACATATATTGAGGGTAAAGATAAATAAATAAACAGATAAATAAGCAAATAAATAATTTTTTTATCTCCACAACAACAAAATACGAATAGTCAAGTCCAAAGTGTAATAATTAGTTTGTAAGCGTTTTATAGCAGTCATATGATAATGTGTCGTTATAAAGCCGTCAAAGATAAAGTACAGACCTTCTTAAAAATCGAGAAGATGCCATGCATCGCTGCGTCTTCGCGATTAGATACGTCGTTTGGTGTGAAGGAACTTTTCCACGGTAGGCTGACTTTCACTGAAAAAAAAATTGGAAATTTCACACGAATTTGAGATTCTAAGCTATACAAATGCCAAGACAAGAAAGAGCAGTATAAACAATGATTACTGATTGAAATTCACAAGAATTAGAGTGATAGAAATGCTATCAGGCTCCACAAACGTATAGAGGGAAGGTTTCAATGTGGTTCATATTTGCTAGCCGATTGTTTTTGCCTTATGCAAACAAAACATTGCCCTCATGAAGTGATGAGTATGATGGGAGAGACGTGGCTACATTCTTTTCTGATTACAAATTCTCATTTTGGGCAACTTTTGGAAAAATATTAGCATATTGGATGAGTAATGATGTCATGGAATTTTTTATTACATCGCCATCTCTTCTATAGAATATTTTTATTGATAACCAAGGGCTGAAGTTGTATTTGACAAGGTTCTAATCAGCATTTGGCTTTTTTATTTGCCAGAAACTCGTAAATTGTAGGGAACAATTTCTTCTTATCTGCTTACACACCTGTGAATACTCTTAAGCTGATTCTGGGACTTCCTTAAAATCTTCACTTCATGGGATAATTATTGATTAAGGTATTTCTAGAACAATGCAATATTCCCTTTGATACACATCAGTGGCAGTGGCGGTCACAAGAATTCCGTTTGAAGGAAGTGCGGGTGAGAAAAGCATGGAGACAACCACTTCTCAAAAAAAAATTTTTTTGCAAGGCTAATTTGAATATTCAAAGATTTTGGGAATTATGCAAATTATTTACAAGTATAAACAAGTCACCTAGACATTTTTATGACCTATGCAAGCAACATTCAAAAAGTTTCGCGATCTATTTTCGGGGGGGGGGGGAGGGGGAGGGGGTGTGAAGGGCCATTGAGTCGCTGAATTTTTACTGCCGTAAGTTACAAAAATGTGCAAAATGAAAAGCTTTTACTTGTAAACGATTTTGAAATTTGTGAAAAACTCACTAAGCCTTGTAAAAAAATTTTTTTGATGGCTTTGTTACCATTACACCCCTCTTCTGGATTTATATGTAGGATCAAGAGAATAGGCCGGAATTTTTTTTTGAAAATAACATTTGTTATACCAGCCCCCTTCAAAAAATTTTTCGGATTACCGCAGCGGTACATAGGCAGAAACAAAGTGGAATGTTTTCTCATGTTTTTATTCATAGATTTAAAGATTTTTTTATCGATATTCAACTCCTGGGGAAAAGACCACAATAAAATATATGAATACAATGAAATGTTAGTATGAATGAATATAAATGACATCAATAATGAACATAAGGATAAAGATAATGTAACATATCGTCAAAAACAATTTCTTTTTTTTCTGCAACTGTGCTGTGTGATTCGAAAATAAAGGATTCTGTGATTTCTGAATTTCTGAAGCAAAAAAGACGATTTTGGAAGTTTCCATCGAGAAACTTTTTGTGTATGCAATCTTTGTTTATTGATTGGAATGTGATAAAAATTCCTCTCAATTCGCAGCTTATAATGCAGGCACCAGATCAAGCACTAGCTGAAAGCTGTTCTCAGAGTGGAAAGTAGCTTATAGCAGAATCACCAATGAATCATCGACGACGGAGAAAAATCCCCTTTGCAACCAGTAATGGAAGCTGTGTAAGCAGGGGGGCTGCTTTCGGATCAATCGGTGTCGTCGTCAAACAGACGGGGCGATTGTAAGGGGCAGAAGAGGGGAGAGAGTGTGTTGTATGCACAGAAATGTATGTGTGTGATCACTCTTGAAGGAGAAGCATTGGTGTGTGGTGGCGCCCCCCTTCTTATCACAAACGGCGTCAAGATATTCGAGATAACATTGGTATGCCAAAGTGCTAGTGTGCACTAACCCATTCTACACCGCAAGAGAAAGTGCATAAAATTTTGGAGAAATAGAGATAAAAATTGCAAAGTAAAAAATGGTAGAAGCTTTCACTGTCAAAGAAGCGATTGATAGAAGGTGAAAAGCTATAAACTAATTTTCTTTAATTGATAAGTGTAGAGGGATCACTAAGTGGTATGGTAGATCAATGTGTGGAATTGCACGCCGCGCGCAGTAAATTTCGACTATTTAATGGTAAATAGTAGAAGGTTGGCGGATTTTGATCACACTTCACATTTTATTGGCATTTCGAAATTCTTTTTGATCAATCATTTCTAAACTCGATTCTACGCAATGCATAAAAGAAAGGATTCTTAAATTCTGGTAATTTGTTCTTGAGATTTTTCATCTCATTTTTTCATTTATGAACGCTAGAGACTTCAGAAAGTCGCTATTGAAGAGACAGTCCTGAAGCATACTTGGAGAATTTTAGAAGAGAAAAATATAAATAAAATCTCAGAAAAAAAATCAAAGAAAAAAGGAGAGAATCTAAGATGTTCACGAAACTGTCGTAAACTTGCTGGCTATTTGTGCATTTGCGACATTGATCATATCGGTGTTACATTGTAGTTATTGTCATTATTGTCATCGCTTAGGTATGAACAATTCAGGTATGAACAGTTTTTGGAGTTTTTAAATAAAAGAATAACGGAAATTATGACCCCAGTAATCAAATAAAAAGAAAAAAGTTTGAAAAAGCCAACTTTTTGAGAAAATCAATCAAAACAAAATTTGAAAAATATTTTTGATTGATCGAACTCCTTTCAAATAATTCTTTGAACTTGAGTGCACCAACTCGCTTAAAGGCTGTGAGTTGTCCGTACCAGTGCTAGCGCCATGATATCGCCGTGCCGGAATAGCAATCGATCAATATAGGCGGGCACGATGCTGGCACGGTGGCACAACTCCTTCAAACGGACATTTCTAGATGCAGTTTTTGAACATAACAAAAAAATTTTTGCTGAATTAGCCGTAAAGTACCGCGCGTGTTCTGCAATTACACATATCATGCTGCAAATGACTCGACCATAACCTCTATAACGTACCTTTGAGACATGTGAGCATATTAAGCTCAACCTGTCGCAAGATCGTCAGGCGACATACATGAGTGCAAACGCCTGACTCAGACGCTTTAAACTTTTTTTCCGAGGAGAACTCCTGTTTCATTCACTGCGCCCCTACGGATATTTCGCCGAGCCCCCAAACTCGCAGCGATGGGAAAGTGTCGCCATTTAGTGGGGAATTACTCAGCTGCTGCTGTCGATGCACTTTTCTCCAGCTACGATAGTGCGAAAACGGATTTCTGACCAGATGTACTGGTTATTTGGTTTAGCTAATCAGTGTTGGAGAATCTGCTAGTGCTAAAGCTACATCTTTACAAAGAAGAAAATAATTTTATTTTCATCCCCTTCTAGAACACGAATCTCCTCTGGATTTACAAGGCACATATTCTTGATGCCAAACCGGGGGGGGGGGGAGGGGGTTGGCGAACACATCCACGGCTCGGCATAGCTGGTACCGGGTAAGAATGGATATCTTTTTGAGAGCAAAAGCAAAGGGATAATACCGTTTTGGGGGCAATAAAGCACAAACATTGCATTTAAACATTAATTTACGTTTAGGGTTTAGGGTCAAAGTAAATTTCGTATTATTTTGCAAAATTCAAAAGGGACTTGTTTCTTAGACTTTCGTAAACCCACCTGATGCCGAGCCCTGACATAATCATTATTTTTTCTGCAAGACCATATCTCTACATTAATCGTCTATACTTGGTGATTGTATAGTAGTCGAAGGTCAAAAGTACTGCTTAGATCTTCTAAAAGAAATCTAACGCTGGCTTCAGAAACATTTTGACTATGATTCTTTCCGTAGAGAGTCAGAAGTTGATTTTCATGCTGAAGATCAAATTTCAATTGAATCTCGAGATCACGATGAACAATCCATGAACAACGATACAGCATCAAAAAATTGTAAAAATAGCAATAAAGACACGGTAGGGTCCTAATTGAAGAAAAAGAACACCGAGATTGATCTAGCCCCTCTTTCCGCGCTATTATTGTAACACCAAAATATAACATTTTTTTGAGGTATACGCACACTTTCCGATCATGAATTCCAAAATGTGTTTCTGAAGAAACGTCCAGGTTATGTTTTTATTGCCTCAACCTGCAACCATCTTTCCTTTCAAAAAATTTTTTTGGTTTGCCTTGTTAGATTAGTTCAGAAAATAAGCAATATTTTCCAATTTTTCCAAAGCTCTGTAATTTTTGCTGTCTATGAATAGGTAAAGGCTGCTCGAAAAAGATAATTTTGGAGTTGTTAGGCTTTCCCTGCCTTTTTTCAAACTCGATCCGAAAATGGGCTTGAAAACGTTGGAACGCGCTTGAAAATGTAGAAATGACGAGTTTTTGAATAACGAACACATAATTATGAGATGTGCGCGCTTTCTTTCGTTGTTTCCCTCCGCATTCCTGAGTAAGTGGTAAATGGGCGGAGCTAACCCAATGGGTAAAACCTGTTTATGTTCTTAGGAAAGACTGTTTTGCTTTTGAGCCAATGTTTTGCGCCAGTATTTGGATAACCACCTCTTTTCTTTCGCCTAGTTAGAAAAAAGTCGGAGGCTATTGGGAGAGGGAGAGCCTTTTTTAGCCATGTTGGTCAAACACGCCCAGGGCTCGGCACCTGGTCAATCTGGATATCGTTTCTGGGACAAAAAGCAAAGGGGATATCGTTTTTGTGGCCGAGACACAAAAACTGCGTCGTTTTTTTGTTTCATTTTTTGGGGATCTAGGATTGGGGGTGAGAGGGGTTGTACAAAATTTCAAGATGTAAGGGAATGCATTTTGTAATTTCTGGTATCAGCCAAACCCTGAACTTGCTTGCACCTTTTCAATGTTCCTTGAAGCCAGTCCTCAAAAAAATGTTTACCTTGTCGAATTTCGGTCAGGACTGGCTCCATAAATATCAAAAAATTTCTTTGCAAGACTAGCCTAGCTGTAGCTGTTCCTAATACATCTTCAAGGATCAGTGTATTTTTTGAAAAAAATATTTGGCATTTGGTGCACTTTTAAAATTTTCGCGGGCAACTCAAATCGTGAAAGGATGTCTAGCTAATGGTAGATAGAAATATAAAGTGTTAGTTTTCTAATAATAGGCAATTAATCTCCTAGAAAAACACGGCACTGACACTAATCAATATTCTGATAATGAGCATTATTTTTTGATGTTTTTATGACAAGTGATTTTTGCAGTCTTTATTCTGATGTCTCTAAGCTCATTAATCAAAGATTCGAACTGAAAAAGGGCCACTTAGAACAGTTACTAATTTCACATGTACTGTATTGAATTTTAGTTTTGAACAGAAATTATTAGAATCAAGAACGAAGAAAAGCGCGCTTCAAATTTTTGAGAATTATCGATCACATACGCATACTTATTGCCTTTTAATAATAATACTTCAACTCAAGTAATTGTTAACAGACTACAGCAAGAGGCGCACAAAAGGGAAACCTCTCATTTCATTTTTGTATAAAAAATTATTTTCAAGCGAAGTTTTTGAAATGACGAAAAAATCGTTGTGGACCTGGGATAAAAATAAGACTCAAAGAAAAAACTACGATGTTCCTGGAAAAGAATGGAGTGTGAGCAATGTGCGGGGAAGCAAATTCCTTCCGTATGGGATTGAGGACAAGAGCCTCTTCAAAGGTTCTTCAAAAGAATCCTACATCAGCAGCCTAAATGTATCGGCAGGTGTTCGCAGTCGGAGACGCAAGAGACTCGCGGAATGTGCTAGACAATAAAAAACGAGAAGCAGAAGCTTGTCGGAGTTCGGCGACGGGGAGGGGTGGGGGGGGGGGTGGAGAAGAATGGGTAACTGGACCAGGAACCCCGTGAAAAAGGTGTGGCGGGGCATAACAATGATGAACTGAGTTGTTTGCGCGGGTGGTCCTTGGCGCTGTCACCAGCCGAAGTGTCACGTCCAGCCACTTGGTTTGACCCTCGCGACCCGCCTGCGTCGCGTCGTTCTTCTGGCATCGATGTCTGTTTTAGCAGCCTATTCAGAGTTCAATTCTGATCTGAGGTGTTTTCCTATTCTGAACTGTTATGCCACAGTCGGAAAAAGTTCCTACTTTCAATTGCGAATTAGGCAATGCGAAACTCGTCCATACTTCCCCCAAAAAGCAGACGCTTCCAATCAATCAGCTAATCGTTTCTAGCTCCTCGTATGATTCGACAAAGTTTTTTGCTCTTGCAAAGAATGACCTAGCAAGCGAAAACGTTCCGCCATTATCGAATGCTAGAAATTATCAGCAGCTAATAAGACATTAATTGCTACCCTGAAAAAACTTCATTCCGACAGCGAGATAGCTACGAACGTGACTCTCCCAGCTGCACTAATTTTTGCCAATCAAACATTTGATTGCTTGCTAAGCTAAGCAGGGAATGGACAAAATTTAACCCAGCCATACCAAACATGCTCTATATCATCGGACTCGTCTTGAAACGCTGACCACTATAATTTTATTATGTGCCAAGCGACTATCTGGGAGAAGTTATGAGCGTTTAAATGTTCGATTTGTCGAGTGTTTTGTGGTGCATGTTCCAAGAAATAGGTTTCAAAAACACTTGTTCAGATTTTTGGTGAATTTGCTTCCTCCTTGTAATTAAAATAACCATAGCCTCTGTAAATCTGCGCCATTAGGCTGCCTTTCAAGGAAATACATTCGTCGAGACTCGAAGAATTTTTCATATTTGAACGCTCATAATTCCTTCCAGATAAGCGCTTAGCAGATAAAAAACATATATCTAAAACAAGCGTTTTAAGACGAATCCGATGAT